TATAGAATGCATAATTATAGCATAAGAGAATCATTCATTACTACGAGTGTGGGATAGTGAAATTCCACCAAGGGGACTAGATTCACGGTCTAGGACGAAGCTTTGCCGAGTCCTAGACCGTGAATCTTGTGCCCGAGGTGGAATTTCACTTTCCCCCTCGAGTGTGTAATGAATGATTATTTTTTTCGCATTATTTTATCCAAAATAACGGCCTGTCAATGACGTCGCCATAAGACTAAAAATATATTTTTTTAATTGTCCATATAATTAAAAATCTGAATTTACCATTGGAAAAAGCGTACCTGAAAATGGTTTAGACTTAGTGTAAACCAGTAAAATGAATTTCAGTTCAAATAAATTAATTAGAAAGATAAAACTGGGAATAAAAAACTTATCTATCCGATAGCGCACAAATTCATTTTAGAAGAATCCTTCCGCGATCTAAAAAATAGTGCTTTTTAAAAAGTGAAAATACACCAATATTTTGAATGAAATAAGTTTATTTTAATAAGTTAAATGACAACATATATGGTATTTTTTAACATTGTTTAACATTGTTACAATTTCTATATATAAAGACGGAATGTTTACGTTATCGTTCGCGGTGAAGTAATACACAGTGTGAGACAGAAAAATCTCACACTGCTGTCTCACACCGGACAAGTCAATCTAACACTGGTGATTATGCGAGAAAAAGTTTTATCATTGACTTTTCCGATTTATTAGTATTACATAATTATAAAAAAGTGTTAATTCGCCAAATTCTTATCCATGTGCAGCCTTAACAAACCCGCTTGGGGCTTTATTGATTATATAATGAAAAATGCATTGTTTGTTTGAAAATCTACGTCTCTGCTCCTGGATAATAAATAAACAAACTAAGTTCATAGTTATGATGACCAGAATGCCTCTACCAAAATTGTGAATGTTATGGCCCTAAGGTCGGGCGTTCTGGTGTACGGGTGGGGCTCTATTGATTATATAGCAAAAACTCGTTGTTTGTTTAAAAATCTTCTTCTCTGCTCCTGGGTATTAAATAAACTAACTAAGTTCATAGTTATGATGATTTAGAGTGCCTCTTCCAAAATTAAGGATGGGGGACGCTCTTTTAATTATGTAGAAAATTCTTCATTAATTCTTTGAAAATCTTGTCCTTTGCTACTGGGTTATATGCTTATGCTCCAAGTATGTATTTTTATGAGGAAGAAAGGTCTATCTAGCAAAATAGTTAATTTCATGCCCCTGGGTCAGGGGTATCGGAGGCGAGGGGGGGTAATCTGAAAATAAATGAATGCTTTGAAATCTGCTCTTTGGCATTAATCAACCCATTAGTGATGAATAAAATCTATGATAGAATTTCCAAAATTTTGTGGCTCAAGGGTCAGTGCTTTCTTTGGGATGGGTACACAACTGGTTATATAGTTGAAGTGCATTTTCTCTATGTTACTCTGATCTGCCTCTTGGTACTAAGTAAATAGAATAAGCATGCTAAGTTTAAAATTGTGATAAGCAATGGTGTCTTTTTCAAAATTGTGAATTTCATGGTCTCGGGTTTAAAACATGAACCAAATTCTATTGTTGGAAAGTTGTTACGTGATACTCAGGTGATCTATAAGGCCTGTAAGCCTCTTTTTTTCGGGAGGGGGGGGGGGTTACACCTACTCGGGTGTATAGTGGAGACGCCGTATTTACAAAATTTGCTGTCATAAATTTCTTCATAAAAATGCACATTATTAGGGATTTATTTTTATACCATTTTTCAAGTTTTGACAATCCTGCAGTTTTCACATTTGATTGTTGTATTTTGAGTATGAAGTGGATATACTGTAAATCGACCTCACGGTATACATTTTGTGTCATATTTCTGAAATTAAGCTTTTTCCCCATCATATTTCTTTGAAGAAAAAAAATTCCCACAAAAAACACAGTTTTCTTCTTTAATGGTATTGGTTAGTATCCATCTAAAAAAACAACTTTTTTTTAACTCATCGTAAAAGTAAGTAGTCTTTAAAAAATATCCTGCTCGAAAACTCCACTTCTTATACACTCCGTGTCTAAATGGGTGGATCTAGAGGGGGACGGGTAGCGGGGCCAGTCCTCTTCAACGCAATTTGCAGAGTTAATTATGTAAAATTAGAGTAAAGAATTGAAATTGAGTTTGGGCCAAGAGTTAAAAAATGGGTAAGTAAGAAAGTTTGCTTGAAGGTTAGGGTTAAGGATTAAGTTGTTTTAAAGAAGCTTATTTATATTTTTTCTTTACTTATTTTGTTTTCATTTCTTAATACTAACAAACATTGAAATATAAATAACAGACATAGAACAAGTTACATTAAAAAAACATAAGACAATGTGACAATATTGGCTTAGGCCATGCAAAGCAATTGAAACATGTATTCAGAAATATTTATGCAATATTTTTAAATCTGTAGTCTACAAGAAATTTTAATTTTTTCAGAATGTAAGCATAGAAAAAAATTGATAAACATGATAAAAAATTTTATAGATAGTCTCATCCAAACAATGTAGTCGTTAGTACTTCTTATATTTTTAAAGTCTGTAGCAACATAAGAGATGAGTGCGATGAGTGATGCAATTTTTATATTACACTCAGATCTAAATCGAATAATTACATGTTTTCATTTGATATCTATTTTCAGGTAAAAAAAACAATTAATCTGTTCCATATTTCAATAACATTTTTACATTCAGAAATGATATGTTTTGAAGTTTCTTTTACATGCCCTAATTTGCAATGACTACTCATTTCTTTTTCCATTGACTGAAATAGAAATTATTACAAAAAATGTTGTTTAAAAGTTTATTGTTGAATTCTGTAAGTTGTCTATCGGGTATGTCATATAATTTATATCGATATCCATTTTTGCATTCTGAAGGTTCAACACTGAATTCTTTGCGTAAAATTGTTTGATAAAACAATTTACAAAATATTTTGTGCACAAGATTTATATAGAAAAAAGCTACATCTTTGTTCTATGACATTTACATATCCTGTGTAAAAGAGAAAATTATTTCTGAAACGTATATTAACAAACTTACAATTTGAAGAATCATACCATTTCGTGGATAAGGTTTGAAAACAGAAGTAAGAACTTTAAATTCACATAAGTTTAAAAAGTGCATTTCCTGTTACAATATGCTATATGGATAGTCTTGAGTCCCTGGCATACTGTTACCAGTTCGCAGAGGAATTCCTAGGTGAAGATGCTTAAGAACCAGTGGAACAGGTACCTGAAAACCGCATATTCGCTATGTTCCACAAGGACTACGCTACGAGGATGAAGACTCATATCATTACTGAACTTAGGAAACCTGAACCTAAAATCCGACTGATATTAGCAACCGTTGCTTTAGGCATGGGCCTAAATGCTCCAGGGGTCAGCCATATCATACATTTTAGACCTCCAACTTCATTAGAGAAGTACATGCAGGAATCAGGGAGAGCAGGAAGAGGTGGACAGCCGAGTAGAGCAACACTATACTTCAACAACAGTGACATTGCTGCCAACCGACCAGGAATAACTGATGACATGAGACGTTACTGCAAGAGTGATGACTTATGCTTACGATTATTATTGGTGAAACATTTTGGCTTTTCAGAGACTTTGTTTGAAGGGGAAAGAAAAACTGTTGTTCTAGTTGTAGAATTGATGAATAGTTATTCATCCATGTTGTTGGATACTGTACAATTATGGACTTCAGTTGAGGTCGATATGTGGTTGTAAGGACTCATGGCAATTGATATTGACCAAAGACACAGAAAGTGATAGCGACCGAGCCTACGAGGTCGCTATCATTTTCTGTGTCTGAGGTCAACATCAATTGCCTTGAGTCCTTATAACCACATATTGACCATTCACTGAAGTCCATAATAGTTATATTATGTAATCACTCAAAGTGAATCCACTGACACAGTCCTAACTGAACAGACTTGGCTGTCATTACGTCACAATGGTTAAATTTACGCTTCTTATATTATGACGTCACGAACTGACATACCTTTAGTGCATGCAGCTTGTCATGCGATATTAAATTCCGCGGACGCGCTTTCGCATCTATATCACAAAAGGAGGAATATCACGTGACGTACTTGCAGCCAATGAAAACTACGAAAATAATCTTCATATATAATATTGTGTATTTTTGAATCAACATTCTTATGTGAATATAGCACCTATTGACTAAACTTACAAGTCCAACATAGCTGTCAATTCTGAGAATATGTATTGTTTGTTTGTTTAGGTAACACAATGAAGAAAAACTATTTTGAGGATTAACTTTGTATTTTTTATCTACTTATAGATAACAAGTTTTCAAATGAAAGTAGAAATTTAAAATATTGTTCGTGTCTATATATCACTCAAAAAGAGAACCGGGATCATCACTATCACTATCACCACCCTCGATATCACTAGCGTCTTCTTCTGTTTCGTCAGAAATCTGTCCCCTACGTAATCTCTGTGCCGTTCTTAGGACAACTTGATGAAATTTCTCCTTGTTTACAGAATAAATAGGATTAGCATTTATTCCCTTGTATGATTGCAGACTTCTCCCTTGGTCACTTAATGGATTCAATTCCCTGGTTTTTATTAACATTACCTTTAGGTCACTTTCCAGAGATCTTGATTTATGAGTTGTTCTAAGCTCACAGATCCCTGCTTCTTCATCAAAGTGATGGACCACTGATTCGATAACTGGTGCAGCTTTAGAGATTCCAACAATGGCATTTTCTGTTTTGTTGGAACCAAGTCCTCTGATAAGTTCCTTTAAAAGTTTTACTTGATTTTCTTTTTCCATGTCTTCTGGTTTGTTTTTTCCAATGTGCCCACTTTTATTTATGAATGATGCAGCTCTCACTTTCATGGACATCTTTGTAGAAAGCAGAATTTCTGTCTTCTGAATGTAGTCAATGCATTTCGCAAGATATTTTGATAGTTCTGAGTGACAGTAAAACAAAGGAATCATTTTTTTTAAACATACATTTGTTCTAAATATATCACCCACTTTGATGGCATCCATGAAATTCCAAATAAGAAATACATACTGTAGAAAACACATAGAGTAATTCTGAATGTCATCAGTTTCTTTGTTAATTCTTGTTGCAGATTCTGTAACTCCATTTAAAGTCAACTGAACCGATTTGCCAATTGTAAGCAAAGCAATAGGTATTTGCACCATGGTAATCCTATTTTCTTGTCCCTTGCGCAAATTCAGTTTGGCATATCCATTCTGTACAGGAGCTTGTATCAGTAATTCAGTGCTCTGAATTTTAACTTTCAAGTCCAAAATCAGAGAAGACTCGTCATTCTCCAAATCCTGCAAAACAAGGATACATGTACATGTATACAGTGAAAACTGCTTATAATGAATTTTTTAACTTACAATAATATATGACTTCTAAGCAATTGAACAGTTGCAAAACATTACAATAATATATGACTTCTAAGCAATTGAACAGTTGCAAAACATTATTTTATCTGATAGGTTTGTTATGGCTTTGGTTTTCAAGCAGTTAAAAATACCGGTATATGCAACATGAGCATGCACCACATAAATACTAGTCACAAGAGACTCATAGACCACTTCACTCACCAGAACACTTTGTCTAAGAAAAAGCAAATTTCAGTTCAGTGCTGATACGTGGTCTCCTATTTATCCCCCCCCCCCCTTTGGCAAAGGGGAACATGATTTAAACAAACCAAACTAAATCTACACTAACTGAGTATGCTTTCATATTTTGACTAATCAGTGGCTTTAGGAATTTTTTAAAGTTTTTTTTAAGACATTTCACCGTCTAGTGCAATCTACCTAGTTAAGATGTTAAATCCACTTGCTACCCTAACATCTAACAACATCCCATTGAGGGTCACGTCAGAAGTCAAATTGCATCAACCAATCAAATTGTCGCCTGCAAAAGTATTTTACATTTGTTGAAGTGAATAAGTCTCCAGTTGTTCTGAATTTAGCCTCAGACGTGACCCTCTATTGGATGTTGTTAAATGCTAATGTAGCGAGTATGGGAGTGGATCTTACGTCTAATTACTTCTTATCCCAGGGAAGATGATTCTCTTACATGTGAATCTACAATACACTAATTTAAAAAACTTAGGATGCTGCTTCTTAATAAATGAAATGAATTATCAAGACGGGAATTTGTAATAATTGTTCCTATATATTTCTTTACATGACTTAGATTAGATAGTTTGGTCTTTCTTTACACTCATCCCCCGTGGTCATGATTTGAAGAAGTTCTAAGAAGAGGGGGACATTATGAAAAGTTTATGACAACAACTACAACAGACAAATTTTGATCAGAAGAGCATATTTCAGCCTTCACCTTTGCTGAGCTAAAACCTACAGTGGAATGAAAATTTGAATAATTGTATTTTGTAAGTCAGAATGTCGTATAAATTAAAATGTGCAACTTAACCAAAATCTAACTAATATGGATTTTGTCCATTGATGAAATATCTTTTCACGTTTTTCTTTGTGGAGAAAGTGCACATTAGTTTGTAAATAACTTTCAGGAATCTCGCTTGATTCTTCAGGCATGTCAAAATAATGCAAAGTAAATTCTCTGAAAAGTCCTTTTCCTGCAGTTGTAACGAAGTCCTCGTGAGCGGCAAACCTGCTTTTCACTTTCCCATTTACATTGGAACGGTGCAGATTTATCTTATACCATGCCAAACTGCCTTCATCTCTTGATGACTTTAAGTTGAGGAATCGTTTACAGGTTTTCTACAAAGGAAAAGTTAAAAACATTTATTTTGGACCAAAAACTAGCAATAGGAGAGGCATTGACTCAATGTAACAATACTTCAAAATACAATCTCAGTGTTCATGATTGATTATATGATGAACACAATAAAAATAAATCTTATATAAAAAAAATAAACATTATCCTAATGGTATCAGGAAAAAATATGTTGAATTCAACTTATCATTTCCCATGTAATTGAAGTTTCAAGGGCATAAAGTTTTTGCCCTGCCCATGATCTTTTCATCTTGACCTTGGAGATTAGTCCAAAGAAGTTTGATGATTGTTAGACATAGATTCACTTGTTAACAAATGGTCCAATATTCTCTTCTTTCAAATGGAAGAAAAATATGGCCAATTAAATTGAAATAAATTACCTATAGAAAATCCTGTATTGTGTGAAAGAGCTCAACAATCATTGCAGACAGATTATGAAATCTTTCCAAACTGGTATGGGCACCAGACCTCAAAGCTTTAGCCCACTGGAGTCTCTCTCGCGTCATTTGGTCCCCACCAACTGGTACCTTCATTTTGGGAAATTCTTCACCTAAAACAAATTAACATCAACATGATCGAATATATTTGGTATTGAGAATCGATATCTTCTGCATACAATTAAATGTGTGCCTTAGTTTTCAAATGGCTTGTAATTACCTGTGTTATTTTCATCAGACTTATTTTGCACTATTTTTTATTTAAATTTTTACAAAATAAATGTTAAATTAGTATCATAAGATGACAAATCTACACCTTATTAATATTTTAAAATTATTCTTTCAGATTGAATAATACATTAATTCTTAAAAGCATACCAATAAATCATAATCTTGAAATTTCTGTTAGATGTAACAAAATAAAGATAACTTTTAAAAAATACAAACACTAACCAAGTAAAAAAGCTAAACAGAACAGAACTTCAGAAGCAAAGAAACTGTATTGAACCTCGACCGGCTCGTGTATACCGATCCCCCAACTGACTAGTATATGATGTTAATATATCAACGCAGTCAGAGTATGAGGTCTCATTTTTTAAAAGTATTGGCAGGAGGAAAGGAGTGGATTTCTGTGACATTTCCTCAGCAAGTTCATGTGGTATGTGGTTTGGAATGCACATTTTCATCCATGTAAATTTGTTGGAAAAATCAACTATTTCTCTTGCTAAAATGATTTTCAAGCTTTCTCTGTACATTTTCTCCTCTTCTAGAGATGGCAGAAAATTTTCAACTCGTACAGAATTGACATCACCGATGCTCCCTTTGTCACTGTACTTTGAAAGATTCTATTCTGTCTGGGGTAAAGTCTGAAGCAAAGAAATGAAAGTCTTTGGCTTTAACATTCGTTCTGATTTCGTGCGTAGCCACTCGAAAGTCTAAGTTTTCCCCGTTTGTCTTGCCATCCGTCCAACTTCTTAGACTCTGTACGATTTTTTCATCACAGTATTTCCCCAAGTCATCCATGAAATATTGTTTGGAACTAGCGGAAAGGGTGATATGTGCTTTATTTAGTCTCTGAAGTAGCTGAAAAAATACCAAAAAAAACCCAAAAAACAAAATTAGTGATTCTTTTCAAAAATGTACATACACATGTATAACTATTACAATCATGCCAATGTTTAAATATATTTATTTATATTAATTATATCATTATTTATGATTAATTACCTAAGGATCAAGACTTACCATATTATCCGCATGACTTCTGATAACAAGTGCTGTATACACTCTTTGTAATGCTGAGGACTGCTTGTTTCTACTCTGCATGATCATACCATACATGGTAGCCATTGTCACCTTTTCAGAAGGTGTAAGTTCACTTTCATCTCCAACATCCAAAAGTGTCTTAAACACTTCATATAAATATGAAACTTTTGTTTTCAACCCTCTCAAAGCTTTCTCAAACACGGCACCCTTCAATAGCTCAAAGGAGTTCTTCTCTTGTAAAACAGTCTCACCTTTCCTATTAGTTTCCCTTATAGAACAATCCAGTTTCTCCAAAAATGTTTTCAAATCAAAAGATTCTCTTAAACCAAAATTGTTTTTTATGCTAATTGAATTAGAAAAATCACCTTCAGGTAAGTCAAGTTTTTTCTTTGCCTTCTTATGATGATTTGTTGTACAACTTTGTGAATTTATGCACAGTTTTTCAACAGATCGTGTTATTTGCTCTGCCACAGAAATCTTCTGAATTTTATGTGGCTTTTTCACACTTTCTGGGGTAGCTATAGGTAATCTTTTCCTTCGAATGCTTTCATGGAATTTTTCATAATTTAACAAGGCAATTCCTCTGAACATAGAATAGTTTAAAACAATTCTATAACATTTCTCACAAATGTACACTTCGCCACTATTTTCAAAATCAGAGTAGTTGATACTTAGAATGTTTTCCAATTTTTCCTCAAATCTCTTTGCGAGATTTATTTCCAAAAAATATTTATTAGTCTTGTAGGTATTCCAAAGCATGTTACGCAATTTTTGGGATATAATATTTTGACTGGTGTAGTTTTCTTCTCCATACTGATTTAATGTTTCTCAACTACAGATTATGTACTGTAAATAACATAAAATTACTTCCGAGGCTTAACATAAAAATATAGATCTATATATACACACACACGTATTAGACTTCAGAAGATACACAATATTTATACATGTTGTGTCCCAATGGGTATAAAAACAAACGGACATGAAAATTCAGTCTATGCAATGCATAAAAAAGACATTATAGCACAAGAGCTTATTTTATGCGTGTAATTATTATTTATTTTAATAAAAAAAATACATATAAGGTAGGGATGTCAAATCGGTCCATTTTTAATACTCGGTTACTCGGACGTTTTTCCGAACGAGTACTCGGGTACTCGGTAAAAGTGTAAATATGAAAAAGTAAATTGATAACTGTAAAACATATTGTAAACTATGGTAGAAATTAAACTTCTTGCTCTGATGGGAGGTTTCCCGTAAATGTGTTTCTGTTTTAACAATTATCAACACTTCTTGCCCGACGAAATTTTTAAATATAACATTTTTTAAAAGTTCAATTTATTCATCAGAAAAACACACAAAATCAAATCACAAATGGTTCACAGTGTTTTTGTTTAGACAAATAATCTGCATCGTAATTGTAATGTAACTCTTGGTTGCGTTTGACGTCCAAGTTTCAATCGTCAGAGCTACAGTATCAACTTGATCAAGATCAAACAGCGGATTTACGATCTTCTTACACTTTTTCGATCCTAGACTTAATAGCATTACGGGACGGTATGTTGTAGTTTGGTGTAACGATGGACATCAGTTTTTTTTAAGTCTTTGCCTTCAACCATTTGACTTTGCATGTAATCAAACGCAACCATATCAACGATCGCACGTGTATTGTCATCTGTCTCTTTTCCCGAGAGTTTACAGCTTCGTGGAGAAATGACAAATTTATCTAAATTATTTAATTATAATTGACCTTAAATGATGTTCAATGAAAACAAATCATTAAAGCAAAGCAAAAATAAGGGCAGAAGACTATCGAAGGTGAGAAAAGCCAGGTAGCAGGTGCTTGGTCACGATAATTACTGTATAAACACTGCCACAGGCGATAACGGTCATTTAGAGGTGTGGGAAACCCTAATTACCGTATGTACAAGTGCAATGAATATTTTCTGTTTAAAACCGATGTCTTAATGCATTAATGAATTAGCTTAGAAATATTCAAAAATATACATCCGAGTAACCGAGTACTTATTTTAGTATTCGATACTCGGACGTTCGATCGAGTACCCGGTTAACCGGGTACTCGTTGACATCCCTAATATACTAAAGGTAATTATAAGGTAGAGCTCCTGTACTTTACAGTTAACGTTAAATGGGGACACGTTTCAATATTAATTAAAACTCATTACAGAAAAGTGTGTGTTTACTTACTTCTATATTCTACATGTATGATAATCACGTTTCATTATTTGCATATATACATAAAAATATATATTAATTTTTTACCTCCAGGCTCCTATCTGGAAGAGATAAACTAACCCATGCTTTAACCCGTTTCTAACAAATCCGCCATTTTTACGTCACGTGAGGAACTACTTTCTGTCACACATGGGTATATTCATTTCCGAGGTGTTTTTCTGTGAAAGGCCCGAGGTGTTCCGGATGCAGATAGGTCTAATTGATTAATTATTTGACTATGTTTGTACAATTTATACAAGTTAATTGAGATAATTTACCTGTATAATCCCAATTGATGATTGACTTAAAAATGCTCAAATACTAACAGAACACTAATTATATAGCCTCCAGGGAGTGAGCTTCATGGCAATTAGCATTACTTTTACACATACGATGTTGGAAATTTACACGATTATGTGAAATTTTACGCGTTTAAATTTTACGGATTTATAAAACTCGTAAAAATTAGTAAAAATTAGCAGCACGTAAAAAATACCCGTTATACGGTAAATGTTATCAATGAAGGGCAATTTGGACGAGATTGGTCTCTGAAAGGCTGTTATTAAAAACATGACATGTATAAAGACAAGAACCCTGTAAATCCACAATTTGCAATGTATTTTCGGTTTCAAATAAAAACAAAATAAACAGGGAAAACAACTTTCCAGAGGCTATCAAAGTTGAACTTGTCCTTCATTGATAAACATGAATAGAACGGAATTAATATATATATATATATATATATATATATATATATATATATATATATATATATATATATATATATATATATATATATATATATATAAACAAAATCATTCGACGTTTCTGAACATGGTTCAATCAAATTTTAGAAACTGCCACTTTTAAATGTTCATCATCTTTTCTGACTTGTGTTGCAACATAATTCTGTCACATAAATATATGGATTTTATGTCTTCCACTTAGTGCGCTCTGCAAGAGCATTATCTAAGAACAGGTTTTTAAACCTGGGAACCTATTGACAAACGAAAATTTAAAACAAGGAGAGAATACTTTTAGTATTTTTATTTTTGTGTTCTTAATGTATTAATTTTGCCTTTCAAGTTTGTTATTTTTCACTAATTAATTCTTAAAATTTGATCAATTCTCAAAAACTTGTTTTATCTGCCTCGTGTATTGTATTTATGTACATGTATTGTATTTATGTACATGTGTTTTTGCATATCAATTTTGATGTTTTCTTGTGATATTTTGACTGTGATAGTCGATTTAAGAGCTCTACAGAGCTCATGTTCCTTGTTATGAAATGTACAAAATGCCGACTTTAAATAAAATTTATTTACTTACTTACTTACTTACTTACTTAATGATATAAGTCTTGCTTAAAATCAAAATTTTGCATTTTCAATGGTTGATAA